TCACCTAACTGTGCTTGTGTCACCTCAGTCGGTTTCCATGTCTCTTATAGACAGCTCTTCATCACCGGGTGCAACGCTACAGTTCTCTTGTGTATCGGACAGCAGTAACCCAGCAGCTGGCATCACCTGGTCGTTGAATGGTGAAGATGTCACTGCCGACTCCAGTCAAACAGAGGAAGCGGGTTCAAGAAACAAGACATTTACAAGAAAAAGTATCCTGAGTCACAGGTTTTCAACGGAAGATATTTACAAAGTACTTCGTTGTCATATCTTGATTCACCAACGTTTACCGGAAGAAGTTTTAACTGAAATTTTGTACATGGCAGACACCGTGACCATCAGCAGCAGCAACAACTCTAGTGATGATAACGTCATTATTATCGAGGCAGAGAAGCTGATTCTACGCTGCAATGCTGACGGCTATCCAGAACCATCTTACACATGGTTGCACGACGACCAGAGAATACAAGCTGCAGGCGACGAACTGGTGATCGAGTTAGTCGAGTTTAAACACAGAGGATTGTACGCGTGTAAAGCAACTAGTGTGTTTGGAGAATACATGTCGAGTAACAAGTTGAATCTGACCGTGTTAGTGCCAGCAAGAAATGTCACAATGAAGATAGACGGTAATAAAGTAGACGGTAATATGACGATACTTGCGGGACCCCTTGAGCTTAGCTGCACTACAGGTGAAAGCTTTCCGGGAGGGAGAGTAACATGGAAGATTGGTGATACACCTATAGACGGAGCTAATACTTCACATGTCAGTAAAGTCGATGGAACTATAACGACGTACAGCACACTGACATGTACGCTTACCGCCGATGATCACGCCAAAATACTTGCCTGTCATGTTGACATCCACGAATCATTTCAGTCACTGTCAGTCGATGTTCGGCTCAATGTACAGTACATGGGGCAGGTCAGAGTAAGCGGTGACAGTCAGGCAGGCGTTATGACTGTCAAGCACGGCAGTGCGCTTTGGCTGCTGTGTAACGCAGACGGAAACCCACAGCCAAGTTATTTATGGCTTCACAACAAATCACTAGTTCCTGCAGAAGTGAACCCCGTTTACGAAAGGGAACAGGTTAGTTTCGTAGATGCTGGTGACTACGCATGCTCAGCCGCTAACATTGTAGGAGTTGTGAACTCTGCTAATTCAATGTCTGTAGTCGTCGTTGCTCCCCAACCAAATACATTGAATACGGCCCTCATTGTCGGACTGGTCATCGCTGCTTTGGTTTTGATCATCTTAGTTATCGTTATCGTAGGCGTCTGTGCGAAGAGGAAGCCTGATTCGAAGTCCTCTACTTCTTCGACGGAGAGCGTCACAAATTACCACGATAACGCTGGCATGGGTGTTTGGACAACGGACATATCCCACTGTGTACCGGAGCAGTATGAGTCGAGCCAGGGAGAAAAAAGCTACACCCAACCTCACACAACCTACCTACGACCGCAGTACGAGCCCAGTCTCGGGGAGAGCTACAACTACCCCGGCAGAATAGACGGCGTGCTACCGCAGTATGCGCAGGAATCGTGCGGCCAACCTGACAGATCGCACAGTGCGCCGCGGCAGTATGACTCCGGTTACATTGATATCCTACCTGAAGACTCTTACAGTCAGCGTGCCGCGCCAGTAGATGTCGCTGGCAACGTTCATAACTCTACGCATTCACATAGTCGCTGGATTCCCAACAGCGACTCGTATTGTTATGGTGGACAGACACGAAACACTTTAGATGAGAGTAGCTTTAACACTCTTACATTTGGGGAGAGCGACACCTACCTTGATATCCTACCTGAAGGATTTTACATTTAGCATGCCACGCCAGTAGATGGCGCTGGTTGGATGAGAGAAAGCGACGACGACGCTGCCTGTGTTATTCCTCCAATGAGAACGTTAGATTATGGTCAGGGCTCTGGCAACAATTCTAACTCTACGCATTCACCCAGTGGCTGGATTACCATCGACTCGTATCGTTATGGTGGACAGACACGGACCACTTCAGATGAGAGTCGCTTTAACACTCTTGTCTGAACATTAATGAAAAAGTATTAAACTTATGTAGAAGAACTTGTATAGAAGTGTATAGAAACTTGGATAGAATTGCCTATGGCGTTATGAAGAAACTTCTATAAAAAGTACATGTATTAAAGTAGAGAATGGACTATAGGAGTCAGTTGCCTGAACATTTCACAATAGCACACGTCCTGTTGTATTAACACGAGAAATGCAATACTATGTGATCACGTCGCGTTATATTAAAACACAATTCCGGATTCGATAAGAAGTCTTTGATTTTCTTTACGGATAATAAATAACAAGATTATATACGATATGTGAAACGTGGTTTCGTTTCTGTATCACAGGACATAATATAGTCACATGTGCTAATCTAACAAATTCGAGTTTATTGTTTGTCTTAACAATACAAGATTTTTGTTTATTGTTAGTTTGTAATTACATCATAAAACACCGCAGTCTATGTACAAATGGGCTTTGTCGTGTAGTTGTGACATTCCGTCAAGTGGCGTATTATATAGCCATGGTGACCGGTTGGCCATTTTTGTGTTTGAAACGAGATCGGACTATTTTGTAGAAATTCGCATCATAGAGCTGGCAAATGTTTCGAGCGGAACAAAGAGCATGAATCTGTAGTTTTTTAACATGAATAAAGTGTATGTTGTGTATGCGACGTAACTGTGTGAGTATTTTTAATTAATTTTTGTTCGATGCTTATTCAGGCGTGCTGCCTATGGACGCCCTCTACTGTTATACAACACATTAAATATGGCCATTGCGCGGTGAACTATGTGTGAAGTGAATACGTTCACATGCGGATGTGTCATATAGCGCCCGCGCCCGGTGAAATACACGCGATAGCACAACATACACGCGGTTAGCCGTCAGGAGTCAGTTAGATAATAGAGTAAAGCAGAGAAAATTTATATGCAAACTGTGCCCTCGCGCGGTGAAATACTAACGCGAGCAGGAGCTATAATAATACCTTATATATTATTAGCTCTTAACGAGATGTACGAATACGTTTACATACGGATATGCTATGTTGTCGCTTCACCCGCTGAACCCCGTGCATGATGATTTATCAAAAGCATGCTTATATCTAGACCAATAAATTGTGCCCTAAAAAATTTTATATTCTGATGTTATTTTAGGGCCCAATAGCCTTCCATAGACAAAACTTGTAAATTCTGTCATGCAAAATGCACGACAACCTTTTTAGTATTTACGGCCGTGTTACATAGAAAATCAAAAAAATACCTAAAGCCGTCGCTTTATTAACATGTTACCTACATTACAAAACACTTGCCATGCAGTATTCTCCTCATTAATCACGTTCAATTATTAAAACATCACGACATAAAAATCACGCAAACTTCACTACACACAAAACTGCCAATCTTGCATTGAACCGCACAACGACATTTCTCACCGGCCAATGAAATCATCGCTGTGACGTTGTCCGGTGCGGTTTAATGCAAGATTGGCAGTTTTGTGTGTAGTGAAGTTTGCGTGATTTTTATGTCGTGATGTTTTAATAATTAAACGTGATTAATGAGGAGAATACTGCATGGCAAGTGTTTTGTAATGTAGGTAACATGTTAATAAAGCGACGGCTTTAGGTATTTTTTTGATTTTCTATGTAACACGGCCGTAAATAGTAAAAAGGTTGTCGTGCATTTTGCATGACAGAATTCACAAGTTTTGTCTATGGAAGGCTATTGGGCTCTAAAATAACATCAGAATATAAAAAATTTTAGGGCACAATTAATTGGTCTAGCTTATATCAACTATGGTTAGGGTCAGAGTTCTCGGTTCAAGGATAGAGAACATGGGGCCCATTGATCGAGACCTATGTCATTTTCGTAAATGTGGGGGTAGCCCCTTTAAAATCGACAGGGGTGCTGGTGAGGGTGTTCTCTGTTGAGTTCAACCGATAACACAAAAACGTTATTATAACGTTTTTATAACGTTATGCAAAAGTTGTTATAACGTTTTTCGTAACGTTTATATAACGTAAATGTGTAGGGTTTTTATAACGTTTATATAACGTTGGTAAAAACGTTTTTATGTAACGTTAACATAACGTTATTGTATGGGGTCCTGGCAACGTTGAAATAACGTTAGTTAATGTATTCACAATNTATATATATATATATATACTCAATGCGAAAACAAACATACTGACAAAATCAGTGTTTACGCGAGCTGAGGCATATATACACGTAGTGGAATTGATTTTACGACATATAGAAACTGCTGCACATATAGTATGCAATCAAGCCACAGTTCCGAAAAGTAAAATACGTTTAATCCAGTTTAAAAATATAACTTACAATAAAAACGACATGATTTACAACTATATATATATATATATATATATATATATATATACATATATATATATTATCCTCAATATCAACATCAAAACATCAAAGTTGTAAAATTTATAATGAAATATTCGGCTATCCTAATCTGCAGATATATGCACACATAACTACAATACAGTGTTAATTTCTGAATACAAACATTCCAGATAAACATTGTTATTATATAATACTATACACATGTACATATGAAATCACGAACCTTCCTATATAATATTTTCAGTTGCTGATATTTTCAGAAATGAATAAAAGCATAATTACAATCAAGAGCTATTAATACCTATATAACTAGGAGCTGAGCTATAATAAGGTATTGAGGCGCCAAATGGTACGTGCAACACCCCGCGGTCGCGTGCGCCCAGGTCCCGCGGAAGTGCGCGGCTTGACCGCTCTCGGCGGTCGGAGAACAACGCATCTTTTGCGCAACGCAATCTTCTACCCGGTCTCTCTGGTTACTATACATAGTGATAATTCCTGAATAAGCATTCTAGGTAAACATCATTATATATACATAGATAGATAGATAGATAGATAGATAGATAGACCGATAGATTAATACAAACACATCTATTGTATCAATTTGTATCTCTCTGTGTGCGTGTGTGTATCTCTCGCCACCTCTCCACATCTCCTCATCACTGGTGGTTCGGTGATGGAGATGGCTTGGTATCCCAGGTGATGCAACTCTCTCATCTGTTTCACAGAAACAAAACGTGCCAAATGTACGTGCGCATGTATATCATACATAATATTATCTCTCTATATATATATCTATATATTGTAATATCATCTGTTAATCATAGTAATCAAAGATTTCTGCATAAATATTCTGCGACTGTGAAATATAGACTAAAAGGACAGTTTAGTACAGCTATAGGCAGTATTTAATTACCTTCAACTGCTTCACTAAGTTGTAACACTATACATACCTCCACTCCCCTGCTTTCTAGTTCAGCAGTCAGCTTCTCAGCTGGAGCATGAGAGTTCAGAAGTTTCCCATCGAGGCAACTCCAGTCTGTTGCAAAAGAGAACAACGCCAAGCCAGTTATGAATACATAATCATGTAGGCGCACTCGAATCTGCTGGTAGTGACTCGTCACTCACATGCACGCGCGCGCACGCACGCACGCACACACGCACACACACACACACTCGATACTAGCTCTAGTACTATAGCCCGCGTACAGTCGATACATACTCAGCCCGGTCTGCCCAGATCGACTGCATTGTCGTAACTTTTTGTAGCCAATGCGCACACACACGCGGCCGCACGCGCGCACGCACGCACGCACGCACGCACACACACACACAGACACGCGCGCGCGCGTACTGCAGTACAGTGCCTAGCTCTAGAACTATAGCCCTTCACTCCGCCACACGTGTGTGTGTGTCGCACGCCTGTGGCGGAGCGAAGAGCTATAGTTCTAGAGCTATACAGTGCCTATACATATGCCATCTGTAATGCAGCTAGCTCTAGTACTATAGCCCGCGTTTATTAACTGCCTGCGGCAACTGTACGCGGGCTATTGTTACTAGAGCTATATGAAGCCTGTCCGGAGGCAAATTTACTTCTAGCCATAATTCATGAACATAAACAATATGATAACACATAATAATAATATAAGCTAACCAGAGAAACTCGTATAATAACTATTATGAGGAGTAATACAACATATATATTTACCTTGGTCCAGTACAGTTTGTGCCTCGACAACCGGCTTGCACGGCATTCGAACACTTTCTGACCGTTATATTCCCACTCGTACACTCGTACGGCGTCCGTTATGAGTTACGCGCGCTATGCGTAGACTGACTCCTGCTCGTTTCAGCTGTACCGTTATCAGAAGCACGCCTCTAATGGGACGCGACCCAGTTTCAGACTAGGTAATCAGCGCGAGGCATAATTCTTATCGCGAATGTACGTGCCAGGGCGATCGAGTTCTGTATGTGTGTATGCGTGGTCCAAGAGTAGATAATAACCTACATGTTGCGCGCGCGCGCAGCGTGTGTGTGTGTGTGTGCGCGCGTGCGTGCGTGCGTGCGTGCGTGCGCGTGTGTGTTTGTATATGTGCGTGTGTGCGCACGCAGCGTGTGTGTGCCTGCTATAATGGTGTGGACCCGTGTGGGTGTGCGTGCGTATGCACGGATGTGGCATGCTTACGTATGTGTGGCGCGCGCGCGTGAATGTGAATAAAATTTAGTTATGGTAAAGTCGTTTGTCAGGAACCTAAACATAGGCATGGTAATGCAAACAGTAAATAAACGTTGGTTTTCACGTTTTTAGGGAACCGCTTTCACAACCTTATTGTAAATGTTACGTAAGTGGTTTATTACAAGTTTTTGGCAAACGTTTGTTAAGAAACCGACATCTAACGTTACGTGATCAACGTTTTTACTAACCGTAATAGAACGTTTTTAGCAAACGTTTTTAAAATAACATAAATATAACTTTATTAGAAACGTTTTCACAAACGTTTGGAAAACGTTTCATTCATACCAAACCATAAATAACCATTCATAAACGTTGCGAAAACGTTATGTGTTAGCTGGGGGACTAGTAGTGCAGTTCGTCCCGGTAGCCGAGTGAGGGAGGACTCATCAGGTTGTTATGTGTAGCCACGTCCACTCCGTGCGTATGCATGCTGTGGAGTGGCCTGTGAGCTGTGTGGTGTGGCGCGTTATGGTGACAATTAGCGTACGAGTACCCGTGGTGAGGTACTGTCCAGGTCACGGGCGTTTGGCGTGTGCCTTGCCTCATGGGTGAGAGAGACAGCGCATCGCCGTTAATTTGGTGGGTATAGCACTGTCGTATTGTCTTGTCGTTTGGGGTGAGTAAAATAATACAGGACTAGTAGTAGTCGAATATTAAATAGGTTGGTTTAATATTCCTAGACTAGTTAGTATATACAGTATAACTAGTAGAAAACAGGCCTCCCTCAACCGATTCCCGCGCAGAACTACCTACCGTGTGTCCATACGGCACTGGCCTAGCTGTTCACATGGCCCGCGCCACTCAAGGCCGCTAGAGGGAGTGGCTAACCCAACATGGCTGCCCCCATGCAGGGACTCGACTATCTACATCCTTAATTGATGAGCCGGCAAAACACCACGAAAACGGACACTAAAAGACAGCACATATCACAAATAATTATACAATCACAAACACGGATCACCCACACTACGGTTCCCAGGGAGCCACTCTGCTAGGAACCCGAGGGTCCGGTTCCACCGCTACACTATCTTGGTAGGGATGGGCCGATTAATTACGACATGGCCGGCTGTTTATTTAGAGTTCTGTTCTAAAAACGGGTGGTAACTGCTGCGCCTCTCTCGGACGGCCGACTGGTTAACAAAGGATAGGTCCTTGTTTAGAGGTGGATTCGTGGATACTAAATTAAGAGCATATATAAAGCCAAGTGAAGCGGGCATTGGTGAGTCTTAATCTTGTCCTGTGTGTGAGCGTGTGACATCGTCCATTACGTAATTAGTTGTTCTAAGCGTGGCTTAGGGTTATGCTACTATACCTATTGTGCTTTACTTTGTACTATCTTAGCGTGAACTGTCTCTCTAGTACATGAAATAGTCTTTCTTATATTTCGAAACGTAGTTTCTTATAGCTGTTGTAAGAGAAGCACTTTGCACTGTCTGTCTTGGCACCTTTCTCGTACTATCGTGCTAGTCTTTATTTACTGCACGACTTCTTGTAATAAATCTATTCTTTTGCGGCACTGTCTACACCCTCTTCTTCTTCTGATTATAAGTGTTAACATTTCTATGCACTTCTTGTAAGACGTAACACACCCGCTTACAATAATATTATTTTAACAACAGATTTGAGGCCTTTCCCCATGACCTTTTGTTGCTAATTAATCTAGCAACTGTACATAATGGCTAACAATATACATCAAACTAGTAGAAAACAAGTATAACATTTCTTTCAAGCATGAATAATAAAAATATAAAATTGTCATGCGATATAAAAATTTACTCAAACCATGTTAAAAGTTCACAGGCAGTACACTAATGTTTACCTGTCTAGCAGTTTAACAAACGGGCAGAATTGGTTGGTGCTACTGCTAAAGTCAAAACAAATATTAATGATATTAGATTGGATTGATTGGAATAGCCATTTGAAACAAAAATAGTCATCACCCCAGGAAAAAAAATTCCCCTTTTTTCTTTTTCCTTTTTCCTTATTTTTCCACCGGATTTGCACGATTCACGCGGCTTTCAAATCGGCGGAATTCCGCCGATCGGAGGCAATTCTCATCCCTGTGTATATCTAGGGCCTAGTAACTTAAGACATTTGTGCGGCAGAGAATGTGCTTTATTTGGCATACCGAAGAAGTTATTAACCGCAAAAAGTTGTCTTTGCTTACTCCCTGGAAATTGCCATAGTATGTTCTATAGGTGGGGGCGGAGTGACGTCACTTCCCCTTAGCAATACGTCCGGTGAGCAGCGCCGATGAA